CAGCCTGCTGTAGGGGTCAGGGGACGCGGGTCGAAGCGCTCACCGAGGGCCGGCCCGACGCCCCTCCTGCCACCGCTGAGGTGCCCCCACACGCCACGGGCCCCCACGGCCGCCCTGTCTCCCCCGTGCCCTGAGGGGAAGTGCTAGGCTTTCCTCAGAGGTAACTTAAAGAGATCTTTTACCTTCTGGGCTGTTCTTGTTCTTTTCTGGTCACAAACTAACCCAGCTGCTGATCTCAGGGTTTTTTGGTTTTGGTTTTTCTTCTTCTTCCCCTGCAGCAAAATCAGAGCTGGAAGCACTTCCTTGGATTAATTGAAACTTCACCTTGTTATCCTCTCAGAAGAAATATTCAAACAGGAGAAGAAAATAAAACTATCGCATTCAAAGTAGTTATCTAAAACCTTTGCCCAGGACTCTTCTCAAAGCTGTTTGCTGTTCTGCTTCTCTCAGCCTACCCCACGTCATCTTCCTACCCACCTGCTATCCCTCTCCCCATACTCGGCTCCCTTGGTCGCGGCTGCATTGCCACCACTGCTGTGGCTTCCTCCTCTGCACCTGTGCTTGGCTCTCCAAATTGGCTAACGCCACAGAAAATTCACACAAGGGATCACACCTCCCCCCTGTCCAGTCACCTGATCTGCCTGCTAGTGGGGTCAATACCTGAGGAAGCAAAATGAAAGGCCTCCCCAGTCATCTGGCTACACACAGCTGGGGGCAAGAACTGCCACTTGTCAGCTCCCAGAACAGATTCCTTGAACCACAGGATTTTATTTGCTTCCATCATTATAACTTAACATGCATAGCTACAAAAGTTATGAGGACCATAAGATTACTCAGCCTTCTGTAAAACTCAGCTAGACATTTTGCTCCTGTGCCATGTGGCATTGGTGATTTGCTGCTTGCTGCCTATCTGCCAGGTTGAGCAAAATTTCCTTTCATTTGTTCTCAGGCCATTGCTCCTCAGCAGCTTCATGTCCTTTCTTGTTTGCAGGTTTATTAGCATGTAGAAAAAAAGAAAAATAAAGACAATAATTGCCATTTTGCCATACCTTAGCTTGAAGCAAAACTTGAAACAGAAAGCATCAGCTCCACTAGCAATCAATACTAGCATCCATCTCAGCCATTTTGCAAGGAACTGCTTAGCTCTTAAAGCAGAGTGAGAGTGGCTAGAGTGAAATGGGCCAAAGCAATGACTGCAGAGTTGCAACGGGGAAGCGAACAGAAACGTACAGCCCCTCTGCATTGCCAACATGCGGCTTGGGCACAGGTAATGAGAGCATATGGCCTGGCAGAATGAGGCAATAGCTGGGTATCGCCCTGCCGATGTGGTTCATTGCTGCATGCTAAGCAGAGCAGCAAGGAAGGAATAACACCTTGGAGGTCCCATGGCACAGCTAGCCAAGGGGCCGCGGTTCCCACCAGCTCCAGGCTGCCCAGAGGGTCTGATGGGGGGCCGCAGTCCTCTCCGGAAGCCCCATCAGCAGTCCCTGGAGTTGTGCCACTGGGGCTCAACTGCTGTTTCTAGGGGGTTGGCTGGGGTGGAAGGAGTTATGTCAACTCATTTACTCAAAGTGATACACAGGGAGTCAACAAGGGAACCTCGATTTCTCTTCTCCCAAAATTGCATAAGAAAAATAACCTGGAACATTTTGACTGAAGTACTCCAGGTTTTCTCAGGGTTTCTTTTGCTCTCAAAAAGAACTCACCTTATTTTGTTTTCACAGAAAATTTTCAGCTTCTGGAAACAAGCCCAAAGTTTATTCCCTGGATTTTTACTGCTATCTTTCCTTCCCCCAATCTTCCTTCCCATTTTTTCTCTGTCCCTTCACTGTATGAGAAAAAGACAAGGTTAAAAGTATTCGAAAGTAAAGAAAAACCTCAAAACTTCCAAACTTTCCTCCTTTTTTCCAACATGGAAAATATAAGCGGTGTAAAATAGGTATCTTACTTGCTCCCTACTCTCTCAGCAAAGACACCACTTTTTCAGTGGAAAAAGAACAGGAAGTTTAAAGAAGGAAGAATAGAGGAAAAATTCCTAACCTTCAGCTGTAAAACTTTCTTTTTTTTAAGTTACCAAACCAAAATAACCTTGCAATTTATGTTAACACTTAACAATGATTTATTTCATTTCAAAGCTGTGTGTGTTTGTTTCTAGCTTGCCAATCAGATATGAAGAGCGTTATGAAAAAGGCTATGTTCTGCGTAGGATGAAACCACTTTTTCAGATATAATCATTCTCTTACCAGAAAGGTTTGACCAGTTTGAATGATTGCTATGATTGGTCTTATTATGAGTGCTTCCACATAAATAATAGTACAAGGAAATAATTATAAAATCTTTCAATATCATAACAGCCAGTGCAAATCCGTCAGAGTGGTGCCACCTGCACATGTGTGACCTGGACTGAATGGATGAAAGTTACAGCGTCGACATGCGGTGTGATGGCCGCCCTCTCTAGATCCAAATCTGGCTTAAACACCTCCTGAACATATCCCAGTGAGTAAACATTTTATATGAACGCATTAAGTCATGCAGTAGCATTGGACAAAACAGGAACCTGAGACAATGATTTAGCCAGTAGGGTCCATATATTGGGGTTAACGATTCAATAGAAAATCAAAGCCATAAGGAATCCATTTAAAATTTGGGTCTGATCTTGGATACAATAATGCAATTTGCATTAAATTAAATGCTAATTGAGTAGATGTAAGCAGGCCCTTAAGATTTACATTCAACTTGACTACAGAAGAGCCCAAGCAAATGCAATGGGAGGAATGTGCGTTCTGAGAATCTCACCTTTACGTGGAGACTGCAGGCTTCAGGGCAGTGCTCACTGCTCCTCAGGGCCTTTTCTACTGAATTCCCAGGAATGCAGATCCAGGATCCCTTACTAGTTCACTCCTTTGGTGATAACATTTGTGCTTGGTTACTTGGCCACTCAGAACTGCCTTCAGCGTGCATGGGTTTCCTCATACAGCCTCTTTAAAAGAAACCTCACCTCCATACAACACAGCTGATAGAGAACCCAGTACAAAAGCCAAGATAGGAAGACCTGCAGAAGCCTTAGCACTAACTGTAGCCATCTCTGCAAAATTTAGCAGTTAGCGGACAGGTTGCTGTCTAGAGCCTCTGGCAGGGAACTTCCACTACCCAGAGCATACTATAGCAGTCTATGCACTTGACACAGTGCAGGCTGAAGCACACAGCTACTGGAAATAAGACATTTATGGCTGAAGGATTCATTTATGGAATAACTTTCAACGGGATATCAGATTAATGCTTAGTCTGAGAGGCATCATGTTGTACAGCGCAATACCTTTCCATTATGGGCATAATGTTGGTTTTAAAATATTTTGCACTCAGCTACGTGGGGAGAAAATTAGAAAAGTCACTTAAGTCTGCTACAAATGGGGGTCAGTGTGGAAGCAAGCAATGGATCGAGTAGAGTTATAGAAAAACCTACCCAGTACTTTTATTAAATTTAGAAGCATACAGGTCAATTTGAATCAGTCCATGCCTTTTAGACATACCTGGGTCACAGTGGGCTTAACATAGTATTGTTCCCATTATGAACGGTGTCACAGATGTGCCCAGAAACTCTGTGAATGATTCCATGTCCCATTTTGGAAAGAGCTGTACAAACATTCAAGAAGATGGAGTCCCTGCCCAGAGGAAATTATTGCAATTAAAGCATGATGCAAGTAGTGGGTATGACAAATAAATGGAGAACAGGGCACAGCAGTGACAGGAAAGTGTGGGTGGATAAACTAGTTATGATGCACAGCTAGCATGAATAAACAAACAAAATACAGAAGTGAGAGCAATAAGAATATTCAACGCTCACTACGTGGAATGAATAACCCACTAATACAAAAGAGCAATTGGTCCCTCCAGGACAACGTTGCATCTCATTTCTATGGTGCTAAGTAGTAATATATTAAAACAGTCTTCCCTAGCACCTGTATGCCCATGTGTACAACCTTTATCTTACTCCTACAGGGTATGTCTCCAACAGGCCTTTTCCCCTCATAAAAGATACCTCCTGAGCAGCACTGCTCATGAAAATTGCAACCCTTCTGTTGCCCCTTGGCACGGTTCTAAAATTCTGATCAAACCAGCAGTGTTCTTGGCCATTTCAGGAGGTGGGGGAGTGCTCAACAGGCCCAGTATTTGTCTGGAGTCCTGCCCGGATTCCAACTTGTACCATAGAGCTCTCCTGGCACTTCACATTGGCATTCCATATTTTCACCATGTGCACTCAGTGATGTTTCTAACATGTAAAGTGCTCCAGGGCCTACGCTCACCTTTGCTTCTATTTTAATGCACATCTGAGGAGGTTTCTGGGAGAGTGATCGCAGAGACATGACCTGCATTGACTTTAATCCATAGATAATATGCAACTTTGTGTCTCCACCACACTTTGCTATGCTAGAGAACCACTCACCTGTAGACTCTCAGGAACCTTGGTGAAGGTGAGAGCTAGCTCAGACTCCGTTCAGCTACCTCCACAGCACAGGTGTTAGGGTCAGAATGGCCAGCAGAAAGAAAAACTGGCAAAAACTGAGGTTATGTCTACTTTAAAAGCAAGAGGTGTGCTTACCAGTGCATGTAAACCTGCCTCAATCAGCTTTAAACTAGACTTTACAGCGCAGTCTGTACAAACTTGTCTGAATATCGAGCTAATGTGTCAGGGTCTGAAGAAAGAATGACTGAGGTGCTGCTGTCAGTAACTACTTTAGAGCTGCTCAGCTGCATTTGCATGTACTTCCACCCATTTCCAACTGCAGCATAGACACAACCAGTGTCAGAACCGCTGCAGGAAGTCGTACAGCCACCACCTCTGGAAAGCAAAAGGAAACAGTTATGGCCTAGCTCCTAGTGAGAAAAGCATGGGAATTCATACACAGTCGTTCATATACCATTGTCACCTGGGGATGCTCTCTGTTGGGCACTTTGAGGCCTCCTGGAAGCTGAAATGAGTACAGAGGGCAGCAACCCCATTATTATGCTGCTTTGAGGCTGAAAGCAGGTAACTTTAGAACTCTGGATCAAAAGAGCAGTGTGAAGGCATACACCCAAATTTATGTGCAAAGAAAGATGTGAATACTCTGAACTCTGGCACCACATTTTGCTCTCAGTCCAAAAAATCTTGTGTTTTTTAAACCTTCATGTTTAAAATGCATCTTTTTTCTTTAATTTGAAAGAACTGCCTGAATTCTTGCTCCCTTTGAAAGTCATGCGACTTACACAAGTAATTTCAGCATACATAGGATTTCATTCTTATGGTTTGTGAAAGGGGGTTTAAGTCCGACTATTTTAACCAAAAATTTCTAAAAACTTAGGCAGATTCAATCTAAACTGACTACTTTGTATGCATGAGTTCTTTGTTCTCCAGTCCTCTGAGGGCTCACTAAACAAAGCTTACCTTCACTTTGGGAGGTCCAGTACAGATATGTTTTCATATCTTCCTTGCTGTAAACATGCACCAAGAATTTCATGCCCTGTTTGCATTTTGAAGTACTTTGGTATAAAAACCATACAATAAGAGAGCAAGTTTGCCACAGCCTGGACTTTCAAGACGCCACTCATACCAACTAAGGGTTCTTCTACCCTAAATAGAAGATTTCATCTTATCACTTAAAAATACCACATTTTCACATGCATGATAGGATATCACAATCAACTTTACAAGTAGGGAAAATTTAAATTTGTAATGAGTCTGGCTTGCTGCTGTGTGTCATGACAAAAAAAAAAAGGAAAACTAATATTAAAAATGTAGTATATCAGACAAATGCCATTTTTATGAAAGTATTAATCATGGAAAATTACGAACAAATCTACTTGATTTCTCCTATGCTTTTTAAAGAGATAAAATTGTATGTAGTACTTAGTAAAATATATCCCTTATTAAAAACAAACAAACAAACTCAAGTCCTATCCTTTAGTAAGTAGCAGTACAGTCTCCAACTTGCAAAACTGATGCAGATGTATTGGGTCCTACTCCTGCAATCAACTTGGCGCTTGTCTAACTTTACATGTACATAATAAAGCAATTACTTATTTAAAACTTTTAAGATTGTGGCCTTATTAAACATGAATTGGTTGGCACTGACCACACAAAATCCTGGTTCTGCTGAAGTTAACACGTATTTATTATGTGTTTTCTAGGGTAAAACCTGGTTCCAGAGTTTGGATTTTTTTCTTCTTTTAGTTAATATGGCATCTTTTGCAATTTCATGGCTGTATCAAACACACAAATAAATTAAGCACTATTACAAAATATTAAGCAGCTGATCTTTTAAAATTAAGCAATTATTTATACAGTTTCACAATCTGAAAGGAATTCTAATTAGCATTGAAATTTCCTATCAACCAGAAAATGTTCCTTTTGTGATGCAAAATTTCACTGTTTTTTGCCAAAGAGGTACTACTGTCAATGCAAATATACAGATTAAAATGCTGTCTTTTTCATGCTGAATGTTATCTTTATTTTCCAGTGAAAAATGACAACAGTTTGTGACACAGTAAAAAAAGAAAAATATTCATTTAGTTTTTATATTTTTTTCATTCCTGTTCTATACCTTCATTTTGTAACACAGTCTGTAAGTTAAAAAAAATTGAAACTACTGAAATAACTTGGATAACACTGTGTAAGGTTCAAAGACAAACTATTAAAACAGGTATTTCATTCTGTGGAAGGGTGCCTAGTGTGATAAATGGAAGCATTGCAATTAAACAGTTTACAGGACAGAAGCCAAAGATACTACTGACAGCTTAGCTAAAAGTCTGCTGGAACAATGAGTTTAGGGACTATTTACATTTTCACTAGATGTAGTCATCCTGGGAAAAATCTATATACATTTTCTGCACAATAGTAGCTCCATTAGTGAAAATACTATCAGGGCTAAATAGTAAATAAGATGCGGGTGTTTTTATTACCCAGTTTCATCTAACCCTCCTCTGCCACTGCTAAATTGTATTCACAGTGAACAGCTAAGGTTCTCAATTTCTTCCTTTTCAAGGGAGCTCTCCCTCCCCTCCCCATGGTCTAGAAATTTGTATGGGACTGAAAGTCAGGAGATTTGGATTCTCATTTTGCCTCTATGTTTGCCATTCCACAACCTACCATCATGAGGGCTACTTTACTTCACTTCTCATTTCAGCAGAAGAAAGATACTGCTGACATTTCCTCCTCTTGCTAGGGCACTGAAGACCAATTGTGAGTAAATCCATAGCATTTCAGGTGTACTTGGTATGTAAGAACCAAACAAACAATGTAAACTGACATTCTCCAAGAAGGGGTTGCATATACCTCAATCCTGGGATGTGTTCTTCCTCCGTCCTAGTGCAGATGAAAGACACATAGGTGCAAGGCCACCCTTACAATCTTTTCCTACTGAGGCGTTGCTGGAATGCAGCACCAGAGCTCCGTATCTGCACTGTGTAGGGAGAACACTCACCAGTAGCTTTCTAGTCCTCCTCTGCTTCCTCTGCAGAAGCATTACAAAACGAAGGTAATCTGGGCTCAAGATTAAGGCTAGAGTCTCTGTCCCCAGGGATTCAGAACTTAAAATCAAGTAAAAAGCAAGACAGACTACTGCTTACAGGTAGGAAGAAGAACTGATATTCAAACCACAAGGGACTGCTGCTATTTCTTTCTGTAGAAAAGAAGTTATTTTCTTAAGTGTATACTTATAGAAATGAAAAATCTGACAAAGAAATCTCGCTCAGTTCTTGCTTGCAAAACATTACGGTCCTTTGATGAAGCATACATCCAAACTACTAAGTATCATCTTTTTAAAGGTTAAAAAAAATTGCTGCTCTGCATGACGACTGCAGAAAGGTAAAGCACTCCTGGACTCATCAGTCCTTTTCATAGCTAGACTGCCGGAAAATCACAGCCAAAGAGTTCTACCCGAAGGGCAATACCATGATACCATGTTCTTGGAACAATGCGGATAAACCTGGACATGATAGGTGGGTTAAAGAAATGCTTGACATGCCCATTGCTGTCTTCATTACCCAAGAAAACCTGAAAAAAAACACAAACACGCCATTAGTTAAAATGCAACATTTTAAAAAGGCTGCTTTCTCTTTTTAAAATGGTTCCAAACCATGGCATTAGCCATCCAGGGTAGATGGACTGGCTTATTTCTGATTTTAAATAGAATCCAGTCTCCTCCTAAATTGCTGAGTCAAGGCTAGTTCAGACCAGCAATATCAGAGTCTGAAGGAATTAAACAGCCTCTGCCTCCATCCACATCAAAAAACTGTCATTCTAACTTGAATGGAACACAAAAACAAATCTCCCTGATCTTACCCCTACTGACAGCCTTTGCAGGTCAGGTTGGTATAGGGTGACATAGGTAGCAGTATTGTGCAAAGTATTGTGTCTGCTCTGTGGGTATCTAGAGCTCTCCAGCTCTGTTACAGCAAAACTGTCCACTAATATGAATTTCATTTACACACACATATATACACATACACACATACGTATATGTATATAAAGGCTGAAAAGAGATCCTGGGAAATCCTTTGTGCATCCAAGTTAAATGTCCTCCTTTACAAGCTAGTGTCAGTTCCTTTTATCACAAAGCTGACTGCATTCTCTACAAGTTTGGAGCACTTTTATTACTGTATATTACTATGATCAAAATCAGATGGATGTCATGCAGTTATCTGTAGTAAAAACTCCAGCTACCTCGCATTTTAAAGTCCCATGAGAATGTCTTTTTGGTCGGGTTCTGCTTTTGGGTCTTGAGTGCGCTCAGAATCTACAACCAAGCAACGATAGAACTGTCTGAGTTGAGCACAATACCTTTGCCACTGAGCTTGAACCATCTGTATATGATTTCCACTCGGAGCCTTGGTCGCTGTACAGGATAACATAGGATTTCACAAAGTTTTCAGAAGACATGGACTTGGCCCCCTGGGTAGCAACAGCAGTTATCTTCTTAATTGTGAGGAGATCAATTTGCAGCCATTGTTGGTTGTTGTTTGACTACAATTGATAAAGGGTGGCATATTAGCAAACATGTCGGTGTCTTTATTTGCATAAGTGAAAATTCCTGTTGAAAGATGGTTAAGACTGCATCAAAACAAAGTCATAAAAGCGCAGAAGAGTAAGGCTGAGGCATAAACCACCAGCCATCCCGGTGGCCCACACAATTAACTTCTTCACTGCAGATGGTGTATTTGGTCTCCTCTTAACATTTTCACTTTCATTTCCAATACATAATGAAAAATAACATAAATTTATCTCCAGGGTTGTAATGCAATACATAGTAATCATACTGAATGCTTATATAAAACAGTCGCTTCCAGGAAGTCTCAAAGTGCATTGTGAAGAAACACAGCTCCATTTTGCTGGCACAGGAGCTCACATGCCTTGTTGAATGTCACCCAGCGGAACAGTATCAGAATCTGCAGCCTCAGATACTATCCATTAAGTTGCACTGCCTATAAACCAGCCCAGGAAAGGTTTCTTTAATCCCTTGGAGCCAAATATTCAACTTGTATTCATCTCCTGAAATTAAAAGGGCTATTTTTGCAGGGAAGTACTACAGGGTCTGGCCCACAGGACACCATCCAGCTCTCCAAATGTGATTTCACTGCTGTTGCCAAAAGTCCAGCAAGTCTTCCAGTGGCAAGGAGTTGAATGGGCTTCTCCACAAAGGATGACTAAAGAGCCATAAAGCAACCCCATCATGCTTGGTACAGGACATGGCGTGCAGGAAGCACCTGAACACATAGGCAGCACAAATTTATTAACAGCTGCCTTGTCCTTATCCCTCTTTATTTCTCAATTGTTACCTTGGCTCGCCAGGCATTAATCTTTCCTGTCAGACCGAGACGAGCAAGGAAAGGCTCCCACACTTTAAACCAAGTTGTCTTAGCGGAAGAGGCTGTTATCTGGGTATTCTTGATCTCTCCATTTTCCATTCCAAGTGGCAAAGAGCAGCCTGTTAAGAGAACCATCATGTATCTCCAGTTCATCTGAGTAACCACAGCCTAAGCAGCAGCCCTGGGATTGAGAACACCCACAATTTTAGTTTCATTTAATGGCTGGCATGCTCAGCAATCAAACTCAAGCCAGTCCCCTTAGTATCTTCATTTCCCAAGTCTTACATTAAAATTAGGTCCTCCTTCAGTGGGACATTACATGTGTTGCTTAGTTTTAGTAAAGCATGACAGATAAAATCTAATAGGTCAAAGGACTGGAAGGTAAAAAGAGGCTAAGAATGAGACAAAATAAATATGCATCCAGGAAGTGGAACTTTCTCTTCCCAGATAGTACTAAAAATACATTTAGCAACATAGTCAAATGAAATGCTTAGGCATGCAATTGTTCAGGTAAGGTTCTCTAAAGTAGCTGGGTTGTTCCAACCCTGCTCCTTTGGAGACAATAAATCTCAAATCAATCTCAACCAGTGCTTTGGGAGTTGGGGGAAGAAGGGGCACAATGTGAGATGCTGCAATGAAGCCCAACTTTCAGAGCGCTGAAGAAATCTGAAAACATATCTCCCATCACATTCTCCCAAATCACCACTTGATTCTTTTTTCATAGCTCAAAAGCAATCAGAGAAAGTATTAGTTGAAAAAGTAGTCAGGAAGGAAGCACCAGCCTACAATTCATTCTTACCATCTACTTCACAGCCCAGGAGCTCCATGCGAAGCGTAGGCCTGTTGTAGGCCTGTGTTGGGTAGACTCTGATATACCTAGCAATGATAGGTGGATCAATAATGTTCTCTTTTATCCCATAGGCATTGGAATTACCTTCAAAAACCTATATAAAAAAATATAGCCACATATAGTTAATTTAAAGCAACACCAACTGGATACTGAAAACTCTGCTCTATTCTGAAGGTAGTCTTTGTTTATGCCATTAGCCCCATCTACTGCGATGGAGCAGCCCATGCTGCACAACAGCTTAGAATATTTGATGGTTACATCTTAGCATATCTAGAATCACCTGAAGACCTCAGTTCAAGTAAGTGACCCATTGCTACGCACTATATGAATGTATAGGAAGACATTAATAAAAAGGCAGAAAGGAGAGAGAAGTGACAATGGGTTTCTGATTTGGGATTTCTACCACAGAAACCTCAGGGTAAATGGAACTGAGCTATAATTGGTAGGGGTGGCATGTTTGGGTATAAAATGAGCCTCTCAGAGTAACCACACTTACTACACAGGCCTTCAGTAGGCAATTCAGATAGTTTAAAATTCAACTATTGTGACAGGAAAAAGGGAGGGAAAGGAAGAAGGATCTGGTTCTAAATAAGGCAGGGCCTAATTTTTAGTTCAGCTTCTTGCTTGCTTCAAAAAACTGAAATGGGCTTAGGAAATAAAAGTGGGGAGAGATGCTTGTTAGAAAGCCAGCCTCTATGGTCAAGGTCACAGGGCCGATCTAAACCCTAGTCTAGGAAGTTCCTCACCTTACAGTTTGTCTTCTGATCTGAATTTGATTAGATTGTTAGAAGTCCTTTGGAGACTCAAGCTGCATTATTAAGTCTCTGAAGGCCATTAATTTGTCTATTATCTCTTAAGGTAAAACAAAACTGTCACATCACTGCATCATCCCAGGAGGCTACCAAAATTGCAAGTTGCAATCCCTATGGCATGCACAGACCTTTTGTGCAGCAGAGCTGTCTCCTCTGAAGCTGAGCCACTTCCGTCTGTCTTGGGTGTACGCAATAAAGAACTTCTGGACATACAAGGACCTTAAAAGCTGCTTGGCTCCCTGTGTCTGTATCCCAGTTATTAGTACATCTCTTTGAAAGTCCACCTAGGAACAGCAAACAGAGTGTTTATAAAACCAAAACCATACAGAGAAATCAGTTTCATCCTTTGGTATCTACACAACAGCTTCGAGCTCTGCATTTTGGCACCCACAACACTAACACTCTCAGAAGGAATATAAGCAGCAGATGCTAGAGTCCAAATAAACGCTGTCTGTCTCTCTCATTTCATTTTTGTATTTACTTGTGTGTGCATTTACTATCAGAAGCCATTTTACAGTGTTCATCACAGCGCTACAAAGACGCCTCAAAAATATCTGTGTCCCTTTGCTAGGCAGAACCACTATCCCCAAATTACAGAGGGGAAAAAGGACTATCAACAAATTCAAGGTTCACATTTTCATCAGCTGCCTTTAGTTTGGGGTATCTAGCCTGAGAAACAGGACATGACATTCTGAGGTGCTGAGAAGCAACAATTCATGCTGAGTCAGATGCAAGATGTTCCTATCACCAGCAGAACTCATTCTTAGGGATATGCCCTGTACATCTCTGCACACTTTCCTGCAGTAGCCTCAGCTACTCACTACCATGTCCTCTATGAAATTCTCTCTCCTCCCAGCATCATTTCCAATTTCACATCAGATGCCCTCAATCTTCTCCCCCTCCTTCCAGTGTCCACCAACTATCTGCTGAGTGAGAGGAAGCACAATATTGTGACCAATTCCAAGCCACACACATCATGACAGGCCAGCCAGTATTCGTCAACAGTCCAGTTAGCAAGTCAGCCAAATGTAACAGCTACCCACTGAACTTAAGTTGCAATGCTACTTTGAGTCTTTCTCCTCTCCCAACTGCCAGTTTTCATGAGATTTGTAGGAAATTAACTGTCTTTGAAACATCTTCCTTAAATTTAGTTGCAATTTGTTATATGCTGCAAAGGTAATTGTGACGGAAGAAAAAGGTGGAGGAAGTGAGGTGACTGAAAGATACACTGCTTGAAACTGTAATCATAAAAGCTTCCTTTCCCTGTGAAGCCAGGTTATGCTGTGTCACGTTGGACACAGCAATCCATCCCCTCCAATCCATCTGAAGCAATGCTTGAGAGTATTATCTACTTCAAATGATCACATACCAAACTTACACTAACATGCACTGTTAGAGAGAGAAAAGTAGTAGCAGAAGGAATGACTCCGTTTGCCTACAAAATGATTACAGCCTAGATTGTAAGGGGAAGTGGTCAGCCACTGGGCCTCAGTACTGATAGAGACTGGGTTACTCCAAGGGAGGGGACAGTTTACAGTATCAGAAGTCAAACTTACTGCATCTCTGGTTTTCCTCAGCAGTCTTCCTGGCAAGAGCAAGAAAGATTTGACGTTTGAACACAAGGTGCAAGAAAATCACAAGACAGGATTGTATGGCCATTGCCCAGGCTCAACAATGGTCAAGCACGTGTTGTACTAAACATACCTGGATCCAAGGCAGTCGATCATCTTCCATTTCAGTGCTCCAAGCATTATATGTTCCAGAATTGTTTAATCTGGCTAATTTGGGTTCCCAAAAGTCTAGGCAGAAAACATGAATAACACAAGGTTGTAAATAAGAGCGCTGAAAAAAAAGGAGGCTCTAACTGAGGTTGAACACTTCAGTTCTTTTCAGATCTGTTTTGGGAAAAAAAAAAAAAAAAAAAACCCAGAGACTACAAACCTATCATATGGGATAATAGGGACGTGGTCAGCAATTGAAAGTCAACTGCTACCTTGCAAAATTTTCTAGTCAGAAGAATGACTTTAAAAATAACAGTATTTTATTTAATGTACTGTTTAATGATTTGGAACCAGACTCTGGAGTTTTCTAAACAAGTTTTAGCTGCAAGCAGGATCAGACACAAAATGTGGTCTGCATTAACAGCAGAGAATTTCTCTCTGCGTAAGGAGGCTTCCATCTTAACAACGCATGTTGAAAATGTTTGACAACACAGCTTTCAAGCCTTCATAACACTGTGGGAGGAGATGAAGAAAGAAAGTTAGATCTACAGCTAAATTAGGTTTCCAGAATAAGTCATTTGTTTTATTATTTCAAGGGGAAGGATGTGTGTTTCTGCACATGTGTGTAAACTGTACACCTTTATTTGCTACTGCCCATGCAGAATTCTATCAATTTATCTATCAAACGATCCCACTCTTATACTAGGAGTAAACTCAGTAAATCAAAGACTGACATTGCTCTGGAAGCCAGTTCTGCAAACCTCTCACAACAGATATACTTTGCACTTTCATGGCTCATAGCACATATTTGGGCATGTCAGACCTCGAAAACCTTTTGAACACTCGGTGTTGATTTTCAAGAAGGGAACCCAAAGGGCAAAATGATAGAGCTAGATTTGTTCCAGCAAAGCCACTGATAGAGAACTCACTGGCTCTCAGGCTTGTGCTACCGCCAGAGGACCTGTGACACTGTCAGAATACAATGAGGAGGGCTTCCTAGTACAGCTCAGATTCTGTGCCTGCAGAACTGGAGGGCTTTTGAATCAGTTTTTGATTCACTGCTGAACTGATCTTGTAAGATGTATCACGAGATGCCAAAAGAATCTGGAATTGCAATACTTTGCCGAGTATATTCAGGAGCATGCCTGGACCTTCACAAGTGTTAACTCACCTATATGATGTGAAGCGTTGATTTGCGAATCAAGTACAACTCCACCTGCCAGCCCCATTGGAATCCTGCATTCTAGAGACAGCACAGTAATTTTGTTATTAAAGAAAAGGAAGGTTACTCCAATAGGTATTCTGGTGGAAAGCTCTAAGATAACCCTACTCAGAACAACGCTTAATAATACTGTAACATAACCACTCTTTTTCCAGAGAAGGCCAAATTAATCTCTGCAATTCCTCTCAACAGCTTAATCCACTGGTCACTCTAAGAAAAACAACTAGTTTACAGGTAGTATGCTAAAGACTGAATGTTTTTTACTCTAGACTAAATTTGTAGTAATCATTCCACTTCCTCCTTGGAAACACATAGAAGTTTCTTGACGTTAATATGCTTAAGATTTTTGCTGAGCAACCTCCCAAATTTATTTTTGGTGAACCTGAAAGGGAAGAAATTACTTTATAGCTAGAGTCTCCCAGCGACAGATACCTTAGTTTCGGTGTCTAAAAGCCACCAGCCGGGTCTCTGTGGCTTCATTTCAATTGTTCGAAATGAGCCTTGAAAAAATAGAAGAAAGAAACATATCAGAAGTTTTAGTGTTACAATAAAGTTTATGCTAGTGAGGCTGGATGTTAAACCAAAGACCATCCTATGGCGTGACCCAGAAAGATGAAATAACCTGCAACATATTTCAGAGAAAACAATAGCCACCACCGTCTCAACCTTTTTCTTAACAAACAAGTTCCAGCTGGAGACAGAGACTGGAATCAAAACCTAACCAGATACAAATCTAACCTTTGCTGCTGCCGCAAACTATACAGCCTTGGATGCACGTAACAGTAGATGTCTGCACACTGATTGCAGTGCTGAGTAGCTATGTAATGAACAGTACTACTAAGTTCATTACATACGGTGGTGACATTAATTCTGAGGAGCTGATTATGCCTCTTGCTCCTGCACCTCCGACGTGCTGCTCAAGAAGCCTAAAGGACGGATGTAAAGAAGCCAAAAGTAGATGAAGGAGAGTTAACTCCATCGATGTCATCAGACATGTGGCCCCTCCCCTCATTTCCTGCATGCCTCAGGAGTGACAAGGATTGAGCAGGAAGCAGATATGGTTTAGGCTGCTGTTTGCTGCACTTTTTAGAAAGCAAAATATATGCTTTGCTGCTTGTCTTATATTCCCAGTTACTGCAGACATGATCATTATGGGTCTCCTTTAAACAAAACATGGGGATATAACAGTGAAAAACATTACTCTAAAAGGCTTAAATAGCAAATAAACCAACCTAACATTCACTAAAATAAAATCCTATTATTCTAAGCCAATCTCAATATTTTGGCTCACTTTCTTCCTTTTTTATACTTATAGGTGGCATTTCAGACTTCATAGTACTGCTATTGCAGACTCAGGATGCTGACAGTGATGGGCAAAGAACCACACCCTGTGGCCTAATGAGTGCTTTTAGTCTGTTTTGTTTCTCCCTGGACATAAAAATCCTCCTAGGATTGTTATTTGTTCTTTCTGTTGTGTCACACTATAAAAACAAGTCTTCGCCATACTAAGCCAGAAATCAATAGTCTTTTCCAGCAAATATCAGTGAGACTTCAGTGGTACTCAAGCCTGGGGAGGCATGAAAATGATGGCTGCACTACTGTACTTTTATCAGTTCCTGAAGAATTGGTGGCAGGCACTGTCCTGCTCATTCTTTTTTCTAACACTGATCTTCACTGTTGAGCACTTTACAAAGCAAAACTCAGTATTACTTTGCAGATAGAAATACAGAGACACAATAAAGGACAGAAACCTGCCCGTATTCACACAACTGGTGAGTGGCAAGGAAAGTGCAGAACAGAAGTTAGTGCTATAGACTATACTGCCATTCATCTTCCATTTACATCCCTTTCCATTTGAGAGGAGGATATTTGTCCAAGCACCTAGTTTTTATCCCTAACTTTACCCAGTATCTCCTATTTTAGAGGGCAACAATGTCCTCTTCATTTCCCCTCTCCCATAGTATTAAGTAAGGTGCAAAGAGCCGAGTTTCCTTCTGACCATCATATGCAAAATTAACTATCACCGTTCTCAAACACTTCTTCACTGTGCCCAAAGCCAATTTCTGTTCAACCTTGCACTGATATAATGATGACAGACTATAATGGTCACCCAATAAAATGATTTCCAATCTGATACTTACCTGGAAGGAGGGTGTATGTACCAAGCTGATGCTTTGGCTCTCCTTGTTCTATGAAAGTCTGTCCATGAAAATGAACAACATGAATGTCTTTTGGCCCTCCCATATTCAACAAATGCCAACGGACCAGTTCACCTTCATACATTCTCAAGCCTTGCAAATTGTGGGTCACCCCGTTAATGGCTGGAAAAAAAAATGTTATCAAGGATAACCGTTCACAAACAGCTCTTTTAAAGTGCTGGAATGCAGTTATTAAAATGAGCCAAATATTTAATAAAGTAAGGTATTTGGGAAAAAAACAGCGTTTTTCCCAATTTAAAGTGCTACACACTTTATAGTCTGTTGTATCATCAGTTCAGATAATCCAGAAACTTCACCAGAGGATCTGAGCAGTTTGCTTGCAACACATAGCAGGTAGGAGAACAAGGAGATATATTGTCATAATTGACAATAACTGATCAATAACTGATTTTAGAGACCATATTTTCAAAATGCAGATTTCACTTCTCCAAACACCACTTTCATATATGATCACTTACTCTTGTGATTGAAAGGACACAAGCATTAGGTTTCCAAAGACAGCTCACACACAGGCTAGATTTCAGAAGGTTTCATTACTGACCGTTATCCTGAACAGAATAAAATGTTAACTTTGAACATTTAGCCACTTCCTCAACTTCAACTCTACATGACTAAAATCTGTGTATCCACAGAGAGGTACATGAAGGGCTGTCCTACAGTCGCTTCAAAGTCTTTCAGCAGAACTAACTGTTTTGTCAGATTATTGTATTACTACTTAAAAACTCTTGCAAAATTTTTCTATTTTCCAGGGAATTAGCTTCTTATGGAAAAGAGTTTTTTTTTTTCCCCCTAAATATATGGGGGTAGATGCATGTGAGTGTGAGAAACAAATATTCTGTTGAAAGTTTCAATCTAGTATGTACTAGACTGAATCTAGTTTTTCATACAATTCAGTAGGTTCACTTTAACAAAAAATTTCCAGCCAGTGCTAGTCTTTGCGTATAAAATGTGACAATTACGGGCACAATGGATAATATCAAATAACAATTTTAATAATTTTCATAATTTACTCACTTGCAGAACTTAGGCATGTTCAAAGACACAGTGAGCTGAGTTTCCTCCAATGCTCCCCAACACTTTTCCCTCTACCCCCCCAATAAACTGAATAGTTGGTTATAGTACCATAGAATTTGTGGCATTTTTGCATTTCTTGGGTCTTCTCAGTACAAGGTCTTCTAGAACGTTTGTCAAAATACCAGCTTTTCTCTTCATCAAAGACCATAAAAAGTAAGAAAAATTCTCGAGTCGGTGTTTTGCTGTTGTTCGACATATTGAAGGTTCCTTTCTGACAGATCAGTATTGGCCCAATCAAACCAGAGTGAATATCTTTCTCCTAGGAAATAGTAAACCCATATTACAAGTCAGAGTGGATTTCCCAAAAGATGTCAAAATCCAAGAATTTGCATTCTTATAAAATGCTTTCTTTGAGCCTTTATTTAGCCTTTCCAAACTTTAGGAAGGACTCTGTCTCTGATTTTAGCTGACACCAGGTTTCTCCCTCACTCCGGCTCCATTTTTCCTCATTCTGAAGTCATTTACATTTGCCCTTTTGTGAACTCCCCAAACTTCTGCAATAACCACTTTGAAATAGCACGTTTAGCATTCTAGGTGAGGCTGGACAACTGATCCATACTGCAGTCTCATAGCATTCTGTTTTATTCCATAATCTATTTCTTATGCACCCCAATCTTCTCTTTTTGACAACAGCTACACGTTGAGGAAAAATCTTCACTGAGCCTGTGATGTTCAAATTCCTCTCCTAAACTAATAGGATTAATATAGAACTGCATAATCTAGATTTCCACAAACACAACATTTATTTGCTATGACGCTGCTCATTTACCTGCCTTGCTTAACTCTCTTTGATGTTCCTCACAATTGTCCCTCAACCTGAGTAACCTAAACGCTTTTGTGTCATTGGCAGGTTTTGTTAACTTCATTATTCACCATTCCTATCACCTCTCATTAATCACATATTACAGACCCTGGCTTCACGCAGAACCTTGTGGATGACCCACGTTAACACTGTACTCGCAGTTCTCCCTAGACTTGATCCATGAGTCCTGCCTCTCTCATTCTACTGCTATTTAGTTTAGTAGTCTCTTATGTGGGGACCTGTTTTGAAAACTGCAAATTTAAACACAAAGATGTTAAGTTCTTCTTTATCTGCTGTTTTAAAGATGTCTTCAAGAATTATAATTGATTATTGACCTGTGATTTTGTGTTACAGAAACTTCAAAATACCTTGATTCTCCACTCCTTTTAGTCTTCTGTTCTTGACTTTTAGTTCAAAATTAACCAGAGAAAGATGTGAAAACAATGTTCGTTCATTAACTGTCACCCTCTCAGAAAGGCAGTAAAGATGTCTTTACATCAGACTTCAAATTCTAGGCCGTCAGGAGGAAATTTGTCAACTGTGCTATACTGCTAACTGAAGGCCTGATCCAAAACCCATAGTGTTCTGCAGGTATGTAGCATGCCTTGAAAATTTAAGAGTAAAGGCCCGATTTACCATTGCTTTGTATCTTTACTCTCTCCTGCTCAATCTACCAAAGAGTTCCCTGATCTGAATTCTTCATATTAGAAGAGCTGTGAGTAGCAGCAGCTTGCGCCCTCTTTTAACTCAGTGTAAGAGATTAGATATCAGACAGGGGAATATCAGGCCCAAAAGAAAAGACAGTTATCTAAAAAAGTGTTCCGCAGCTTACATTTCCACAGCTGCACAGTCATATCAGTCCCAGCAACACTACCACCTCTACTTTGACTTCCTTACCATATTTAAATCAGAGTAGTAGACCCAGGACCGACAAGTTGCTCCTGACTGCACAGGTCCAGCTCGCCTGTTTGCATACCATACATATATATAGCTGTTATTAGGCTGAATGGCATCATCTTCCTTAAACCAAGCACTAGACTCATCATCGTAAATGCTTCCCTCAGAGGACTTTTCATAGAAGAGTCCATGAGCATGGAGGGAATATGGTCTGGACGCCAGATTCTTAAAATGAACCTAGAAAAAGAAGCAGTAGATTCTGATCAGCATATTTGGGCTATACCAAAGTCCCCAGATAATACATTCCAATGACCTCAAACCAGGGTCCCAATTTGTATAATGATTACAGGCCAGGTTGTACAAAGCAAATCTGGCAGGGATAGCCTTTGAGATCTCTGAGACTGACACTCTTTGATGCAGGCAGTTAACTAGAAGGTAGAAAGCATGAGCAGCATGAGTCCAATGCCCTGTCTGCTAGCGATCCTAGGGTCCTAGGACTTTTACTGCAGCTCTTCACTCCTGCATAGGCTTCTTTAAAGTAAACAGTGAGATGGGGAGTTTCTACCCCTTCTGCTCTTCTGTGAGGCTGTGCTAGAGAAGGGCACAAGATAACCTTATTGTAGCATCAGACTCTTGCACATATTGCTCTCAGTGAAGTCAATGCTTCTCCCTTGTCCTAGGGAAGCAGCATGAGGACAGAGCGACTATATGTTTACCTCCTCTGAGAGAATGACGTCCCCAAATTCAGATAGCCTCCTCTGTTCTCTTACTCATGTTTTTAACATAGTTCATTGTGTTCCTGTTGCACACTACTCATATTAAAGTAAACTCTGCTCCATCTAGTCCATCCCTCTGTTTTGGAAGACTGTATGGAGAATGATACTGACAGAAGGGAAAAGTCTACATTACTTTGCTTCTTAAAGGAAATACACTACTGTATCACTAGAGATACAGTTTCTCTCCATCCTTTTTGTTTTTATTAGGACTGACCAACACATTTACAGCAAGAGTTTTCAGAGGAAACTATACTTTTTGCTCAAAGACATATTTTCATCTTGGATGGAAATTTTCTAATTTCTCTTAAAAAAAAGTTCCCTTTTTCATCTAGGAAGTAGTATTTTCAATGATGTCTGGGTTTAAAAAAAAATTAAAAAAATTTTTAGTGTTAAGCTTAAGTCTGATTTTATATTAAACCAGGGTTTGATAAAAATGTGATAAGTTTGAGTTATTTGATAAACCAGTATTTAACAGTGAAAAACATAAGGAAGAAAAACAGAAGTGAATTTACTGCAGAGAGGAGAGAAAAGGGGCTTCTTACACTCCTTCAGTGAAACATATCACTGTGCTCTTATGTCCTCACTGCAATTTCTGGCCTTGAAAACGTGTTTCCTCTATAGCTTTCTTTTAATTTTTTTTTTTTTTGGTATTTTCAAACCAGTTCTATGTCACCCTGTTAGATCTCCAAAAGATTCCTAACATACTGCACATATATCAAAACAGTGACCTACTAGTATGACATCATCCACTTCAGCCCGGATAACTGGCCCCAGGATGCCAAGGTGTTCTTCATACTCATTTTCTTCCAGAGGAGTTGTAAAGGTGCTGTCCGTATAGCTTCGAAAAATCACTTTCTTATATTTGATGCTGCCTCCATCTTGACGGGTTTTGTCATTCATTGTGCTGAAAGAAAATCCCCAATAAAAAAAACCCACAGTGGAAGCAGAAATAACAGCTCTGATTATGAAATCGGAGTACTCATACAGCAGGAACATTTTAGATAAGCACACAAATATCAGACAATTCACAATGAAAATCCTAATCTACAACGTTTAAGCAATTCTAGTGCTACAGTTGTACATTAGATCCTTGAAAAAAAGATTTGGTGAGCTGTCACTGACAAAAACTCCAACCAGTCTCTGAAAACCTATCTCAGCTCTATCTTCCTTTTATACCATTCGCCTTAATAAGCTAAATCAGAGCTTAGCTCAGCATGTAGTGGGCCTAACACCTGCACCCAACACTCTCACACATGTACCTTCTCTAGAGAGCTAACAGAAACAGATTTTACATCAGATTGTATCTGCATTTGCCAAGATAGAGCTGGTAAGAACAGATAAGCTTTTAGGTATGCAAATTGTTCTTCAGATCTGAAACAGAAGCACCAAAATTCCGCTACTCTAATAAAATATATTACTGTTCCCTCTAAACCCTGCCTCATCAATTCTGCAGAAACAGAAACTTATCCCTTCTCAGTGATCTAATACGAGGAAAGATTGTTTTCACCTTTTCTACACACTGAGATTGTGAGTATCATGGGCTCTTAATTTCAGTGGAACTAGGCACCTTCACAGCAGCTGAGGATGGACCCCACTGGGGAGGTCTAAATAAAACTCTCAGCATCAGGATTTATTTTTTAAGCACAAAGAGAAACTGTCTGAGGTTTCTGCCATTTCTGCAATTACCGCTTATATAGACTGAGATGAAACAAGAGTATACCTGGAAAATACTGGAAAAGTGAGGAAAAAAACCCCAATCAAATAAATTGGAAATCCCATTTTAAAAATAAAACATACCTATTGCTGAATTTCCTGTAGCGAAAGCATTCCT